GGGTGCGTGCGTGGGGACGGGGGTGGGGGTCTGAGGGTGGAGGTGGGTGACTGCCTGCGACGCACCCGCCACCCCGCTTCCTTTTGTCAACGTCGACGCCTGAGAAACTTGTGAAAACGAAAAAAACACGCCAAAACGACGAATGAAAAGAAACTTGCGAAAACGAAAAGAAAGCGCCAAAACGACGAAAACTTGCGAAAACAAAAAGAAAGCGCCCTGAAAGTGGAAGAAAGGAAATGAAAAAAAAAAAAAAAAAAAAAACTTGCGAAAACGAAAAGAAAAGAAAAAAAACTCGTCGGCCGCTTATCGACGGCAGGTGCTTCGAGATATTTGCTCGGATCGACGCCCACCGCCGCCTGGCCCCATGGGTGCGCACTCTCGTTTCATGGCGCGCCGTGAACATTTCGGTACGCTCGCCCCTCTGCACACTCCCCCGTCTTGGATCGCCTTCATCCACCGCCCGTCATCAAAACTTCAACCCGAATCCGGCGCGCGGTGGACTATCGGCCTCCCTTGCGGCCAATGCTGCTTAAGGGTTAGGATTAACAAAGAGGAAATGGAAGGAAAGGGGAAAAGCATAGCGTCAGTGCTGTTCACACCACTAGATCGCTCCTGATGAAGATGGCGATCCTGGTTAGAGCGCAGGTCTGACGTGCGGCTGACGGCTACCACGGTCAAAGGTCGGTAGTGCTCTACTATACAGCAGGGCGCCGAGCCTGTGTGGACCAATGGAAAGCCCATTGGCGCACCTCCATCCTTTTTTTAGGGTGATTGTCAACTGCACCAGCCTGCAGCAGAGCTCCGCCCGAGCATACCTTCTGGTGCACCGCAGAAGCCCAGTAACAGTACACTGTGAAAACCCATGCGGCGCACTGGTTCCCAATACGGTAACAGGTGAATAGTGGGTCCCTGAGCAGGCGTTGGGTACTAAGCGGAACTACTTGAGCAGGTATTTGGTACACGCGGAGGGCCGGGGCACTGTGCTCTCTAACACCGTCCCGAACGCCGGTTACCCTGTGTATATATATATATATATATATATATATATATCGTCACAAACAGAACTGCCCGGTAAACCGTAGGCAGAGAGAGAGAAAAGGACAACAAACGAGGGGTTGTGACAAACTATTTCGTCGGAGTTTCACCGACTCATCAGGAGACTGAACCCTCAACAGTCTGCAGAATCCCCTCACTGATTACACTGTAAATGATAATCTACCTTAACCAAAATNAAAATCAAAGTAGACTATCACTCACCCACACCAGATGAAAAACTCTACAGACTGTCGGTTCACACCCCATCACAAGCCAGCAATATATATATATATATATATATATATATATATATATATATATATATATACACTCGTCTGTGCCGCTTCTCGAAGTCCGAGTTTATTCGCAGTTTTTGCTCATCTGTCCTCAACGAGGTAGGAACCACGTATCTAAACTCCGTAGGGAGTTCTGAAGTGTCGCCGCGTGAACTTTGAATAGATTCGTAGTTTTGCTCATTTGTCCCCTGCGAGGTCAGAACCACTCGAAATAGCTCCGCAAGGAGTTCTGAAGTTCCGTTGCGTAACCTCCGAATAGATTCGCAGTTCCTGCTCATCTGTCGTCAGCGAGGTCGGAACCGCTCGAAATAGCTTCGCAAGGAGTTCTGAAGTGTCGCCACGTGAACTCTGAATAGATTCGCAGTTCCTGCTTATCTGTGGCCGGCGCGGTCAGAACCGTTCGGAATAGCTTCGCAAGGACTTCTGAAGTACTGTCGCGTGAATTCCGAATAGATTCGCCGTTTATGTTCATATGTGTCCCTTGCTTTGTATTTGTGTCCTTCATATCCACAATTGCGAATTATTTCATACTTGTCGACAATACTGCTAGAGGAGATTTTGACTATCGTCCCTATCAACCGGTCGTTGGATTTGGTGTGAATTTGCAACAACCATGTGGTACGTGTTTCATGTCTTTATTTCCACAACTCCGAGTTAGTTCGGACTTTTCCCAAGGAGTTCGGAAGTGTCTGGGCCTGTTTTGATTGCCAACTTCATGTCTTTCATGTTCTCAACTCCAAGTTAGTTCGCATTTTGTGACTTGTAATGTTGGACGAGTGGTTGGCACTCATTGCCTTTCCTCCCGATCACCCGACTTTTAGACCGAATAAAACCCCTTGTTTATATCTGAGTCATTCATATTCAGAACTGCGAGTTTGCTCGAACTCTGGTAGAGGAGTTGTTGTCTTTCCTTCCCGTCACCTAGTTGCTATACTTCATTTGCATTTGCAACACCCATCTGGTACGTCGTTTAGGTCCTTCATTTCCACAACTGCGAGTTATTTCGCACTTTGCTAAGGTGCTGTCTGAAAAAATTGTTAGCTTTCTTGTCACTCATCTGATTTAGTCTGCAGTTGGGCGCAAGATGACGTTTGTGAATAAATCCTCATCAAGAGCGGGACAAGCACTTCCCTCTACCTCTGCGCCTTCTGTCGGAGGTTCCTCGCCTGCTCCAACGCTTGCAGTCTCTGGTGCTGCCAAGGAAGGAGGATCCTCTGCCCAGTATCTTCATTCGACTAATACACAATGGTTTCTGGACTTCGTTGTCAGAGGGTATAGAAACATAGGACTAAAAACTTATACAAAGTGTGCTCCAAAAAAAAATAATCCATATGTAGATCATGGGGATCCGTAATATTGAATTACTTGAGAGGCTTGTGACCATAAAAAATCTCACAACCATCCGTTAATAGTAATAGTACTTCGTTGTCGGCGGGAAGCTTGTTGGGCTAGCTGCTTTCATTAGGCCTACTACCTTTCCGGACGCTAAGGGAGCAAACCACGTTTATCCTGTCAGTTCCATCGTTTTGTGCAAGAAACTGGACTCAACTTGCATACTCAAGCTGCAGACTAACATTGTCTACGACTTGTGCAGAGTGCCCTCCGAAGGTGTCAAAGGTTTGATGTTTTCAATCGACCAGTTCGCGGGGAACGGTTCGAACATGCTTCTGTTGAGTCACTTTTGAGGGCTTTACGATAGCACGAGCAGGTCAAATCCATCTCCAGTGGATTACCTCGAACTCGCGCTCAAGGTGCCAAAAGAGTGCCCCATTCTTCCCCGAGGTTATGTTTTCCAACTTCTGCCACCCGCTGAGGGGTCTTTCGGCTTAGCTCAAGAAACCCCTCTAACGAAGGTCGGACACTGTACTAATCTTCGGCGGCTTCCGTCTGGCTCGCTCAGTGAGGAGGAACGTCGTCAACCGCCAGGGAGGAGTGTATATCACGGCACGGGGGTTAAGGGGGTGGGGCAGGCGGGCAGCAGTCAACTGCAGGTTGGCACGAGTCCCTCTCACTGCACGTCTGGCGACCGGGATGACACAGGGAGGGTCGCCACACCTACACTTCTCAAATTGCACTGCCAGGGTGACATGTATTCGCTTTTGGATGAATCGAGAAGAAAAACGGGCAGTTCTTGAAAAGAGGCTGGAGGGAAGGGCGATGTCCGCGGGAGCGCCGAGGATGAGGTTCGAGAGATGGACGCTTTGCACGACAACTCTGGGGGGGGGGGACTTCTTCGGAGAGGAAGCGCGAAGGACAGAAAACGGTGTGAGAAGAGGTGGCGAAACAAACTAGATACATGAAGAAGATAAAAGGATCCGGGGAGCTGAGGATTGGCGAGCATGAAGGAGACGTCGGGGAACGTGATACTGCCAAAAAAAATAAATCGAAGCAACAACTAAGAAAGCGAAGATGGTCGACGGTTTGAGCATCGTCGAAGGACGAGCCATGAAAGGTATGGTTGAAGGAGAGTTGGCTCGTGAAAGCATTGCGGTCGTGGGAGAACCTTCCATGAAATCTAAAAGGAATTAGGCAGCTGAAGAAGGCGATTGCCCCAACAGAGCTAGGAGGAGGAGTAAGGGTGGTGAGGTGACGAGTCGGCAAGGTGGTGCGACAAGTGTCGATGAGCGGTACAACCAAGCGGTGGCGTTCTGGCTGGAATATAAGCGAAATGATGATGGTGACATCGTGGAGAAGGAGCACTCAATTCAACTGGTCATCGACCCCAAGAAGGTCTGCGATATCCATTGGTGGGAAGATATTATAACCATCGCAGTCTCTGTCAAGAAAATGTGGAGCATATAAAAAAATCAATGCTATGGAAGTTTCATGAGGAGAAGGGAAAAATATGGAAGAAAAACGTTTTGGTTTTGACTCCTATCTACAAGTCGGTGACCCGGAATCCGGAGAGAGTTGAGCGGGTTCACAAGGATGTCTTCAAGCCAGAGGATAAGGACAAATATTCCTATTACCCCGTCAACGGACAACACATCGTGGCTGCTGTGAAGGAATTGGAGTATGAGCCATTATCCAACTTATGGAAGCTGCACTCGTGGTCGACAAGAGTCGTGTGGTTCTCCGATGAAGACTTTTGAGGGTATCGACAGGTCGGTCTATCGGAGAAAACAAGACACACGATGTCCATGCAGTGCTCGCAAAAGTCCGCTTTCGAGGCATGGGAAAATGAGGGGAGGTAAGTGGCTGTTCAAGGAAACCCTTCTGGTAAGGAAGCTGAAAAAAAAAACGTTTTTCAAGTTCCAGAAGCTGATTTTGGGAAAGAGTCTCATCGACACTCATTGGAGGATGGCACGTAATCCGACAACGCTTGCTGACAAGGATAAAATTGCTGCTATTTGCAATGCATTGAAGCAATGGTTGTCGCTCGTGATGGCCGGTGATGAGTTTTTTTGGAAAGGGATGGAGTTTTACGATAAGTGGGTCGAGCGAAAGTTGTTAGGCGGAGACGGGAAGACGCTATTGTCGAAGCCTGTCAAATACATGCGAGACAAATCTTCGGGGCTTCAAGCGATTCTGAAAATTGGCGCAAAAGGGGCAGCTGGTGAGAAAACGATGGGGTGGCTGGTCACGGTCCCTCCACCTTAGACCAAAAAGAAAATGCAATTGGACGACAAGTTCTTCGTTGTCGTGAAGGAGCCAAATATGTTCTGTTAGTTAGGTCTCGCTTACATGACTGGTGACAAAAAGTTGTCGATCCTCCAGGACATTCTCGTGCTTAAGGGAGTGTTCGTGCAATCGGTGGGTGAGACACTTAGATGCCAGCATAAGCCGGGAGTTAAAGTGATGGCCGCAACGATGAAAGTGTATCGAATGATGCTTCGCATGTTCCACTATATCTTGTTCCTTGAACAAGAGGTGGACGATGACGCTTGGCGCTATGGAAGCTCATTTTTCCAGACCCAAGAGCAGCTTCTGGCGGAGTTCGCGCCGCAGAGCCTCACAAAGTAGGTGTGGCTCGAACTGAGGAAGCACTTCCACAACGCGATGGACTACGTAGGAACTTGCAAGTGTTATCTTCCGTACGAGAAGGAGTCCCTCGACGAGACGAAGAAATTGTACGATGATGAGATGTTCCCTAAGGCATTCGAGAAGTGCGTCCGGTCCATACTGCAAGGAACGGAGCAAGAAGTCCAAGATATGATTATGTGAGGCACATCCTATGGTACAAGCTCAACCGCATTACCAACCTTATTCCTTTCGGTTGTCCACCTTCCCAAGCTCACATTCGTCTCATTGAGATCAAACAAATAGTGCGACATTATGTTTGCAACGTGTACATCCTCGATTTGTGTGATCCAACACTCGTGTCAGATTGGCAAGAAGGCAATTTCGCCTCCTTGCAAGGAATGCTCCGAGCGCTATCACCAAGCCACTGGGCACTTCTAGTCTTTTTCCCATCGCGTTGGGAGCTCAGTTTCTTGAAAGGCTTGGCCAAGCTTAGCGTTCATCATGTAAGGACATGGAAGTGGGTGCGCCATCCACAAAGGAAGGCCACAGTCCAGGAAGGCAATATGTTGGTCGAGGAATATGATCGCCTGTACGTGGTTTTCAATAGTGAGAACTTGGCAGACAACACGGTGGCAGTCTTCTCGACCGGTTGTCCATCGAGGCCCCCTTGTCTGAAGGCTACAAGTCCGGCCAAACCCGCAGCGACGGCCCCCTCGAAAGCAGCCTGTTCTTTCGACCATTTGGGACAAGTTGTGGCTTGTTTCGACGTGACAGACAAGGACAAGTTTCATTGCAGTCAGTGGGAGGAGGGCGGTGTGACAAGTGTTCGAGGAGCTGCTTATGAGGACAGGGAACGAGACCCAACTCATCTAATTGGCCTACTCGACAACTTTTATACAGTTGGGCAAACATTTTTTTTCTTTGGGAAGACTCATGCATTTGTTGTGTGAGAGCTCCTCCGTAGGGGTCATAACGTCGTCACGTTGGAGGATGAGGCGAAGCTGATCGATTACATTCATGAGTTCGTGAAGACACGCGTGGGGGACAGTCGCAACCATTCCTCTTTTGTCGAGAGTAGCGGTGAACGTAAACTGAGATCCCAAACGAGATATGTAGTGGAAATTGCTAGAGAAGAAAAGGTCGGAGGTTTGGGACTTCCTTTTCCGACCGGGACCGCCTGCTCAGACCGACATGGAATACAGTCGACGAAGAAACCAGGTGTTCGGTGTGCTGAAAGGTTACCGCAGTGCGTCGTGGGAGTCGGTGTCAAATTTCCTGAAATGGTTGGAGCATGTTTTCTTTTTGAGGGCAGAACCACTAACCGTCGAGAACTACAAGGCACAGTTTAATGAGGAGGGCCCTTTCGAGGCTGAAGATATGGAGGAGGTGAGCGACTCCAAATCCTTCGATTTCGAGCCCATGCAACTTCCTGAGGTAGTGCCACAGGTTGGTGATGAAGGGGAAGGTGGTTCTAGGAGATATAGCTCGTCCCCTGCCGGTTTGAAACGTGTATTTGGGCGCGTCTCAATCAAGGAAGAATCGTTTGATGATGGGGAAAAAGAGAGAGACTACGAATACGCACCTGTTGACAACCTCCCTAAGGACCATAATACCTGGGAGAATGATAGGCTCTTCTTCTACGAGAAGCACCACCGGTTCACAGCAGAGGATGTCTGGGGGCACAACCTCGTTTGGCACCTCAGGATATTCCAACGTGCTGTAAAGAACGGATAGTTGGTTATGGCAATCAAGGAAGCCGGCGGCAAGTGGAGTGCCCTTTATAGACTGGGAGCGCGTCCATTTAAGAAAAAAGCCAAAGAAGCTATTGTGGAGCATTTGAGTGTAGTTAAGCCCGGAAGGCGCCCGCAGGACGTCGACGCCTATGTAGTCCAAAATCTTAACGAGCTCTACGACAACAAACTCTTGGAGTTTCGAGCGCCTTTCTACCCACTTGATTCGACACCGTCTCGTGACATTGATTGGCGCATGCCGCAACCTCCGGCCGGTGGCCAGCATCCGGGAGGCGGTGGAGCTGGAGGAGGTGACGAAGGAGACGACTCAGGAACCGGCGTGGACATAGCAGAGGGGAAGCCGTCGGGCGGAGAGGGTTCAGGAAGGGGGTCTGGCGAAACGGAATCGGGCTCAAAAGAGTCTGGCGGAAAGGGGTCGGGCGGAAAGGGGTCGGGTGGCAAACGTAGAGCCTTCGGGACTCACGAGTCTAAGGGATATGAATGTCAGTGTGAAGGAAGTCAAGGTTCTCACATGGCAGACGAGGCCTCCCTGAGGTCTTATCAAGTGCGAGTAAAGTCGCAGTTGTGTGTCAGAACCTTGTTTCACGATGTCGTCGAGGCGTTCGTGCCACCGTAAGCAGACGACGTTTCCTGTGGACAACAGTTTGCTCCTGCACCACATGGAAGAACTTCAAGGTGAACGTCTGCAGCTTGCGGCATCATCTCCTGAGCGGCAAAACTATTCTTTATCGGGAACTGCGTCTTCTTTTTGCCAGGACGCCGACATGCCTGCATTTCGTAGGAACGAAGGTGCGATCTTCAGTTCCCTCAGCTCTGGCGAGCGCCACAAAGTCTGAATAGATTCGGAGTTACTGACATCGCCCTGCAGGTCGTCTGCCAACAGTGCTGCTCATGCCATGATTCTACGGGGCGATGAAAATGTGAGGTCCAATCTCCCGCCTCTTCAGTTCGGCACAATGATCCTCTGCTCACCACCGTTCTCAAATGTTGGAAGTCGAGACTGACCATCTCGCAAAGTGTTGGAGGGCCCGCCGCAGGAGTGTTGGAGATCGGGGGTAGCGAGCATCAATGTCATGTTACGGAGGGTGCGCCCATTGACTTTGAGAGCAAGAGTACAGCAACTGCGGGGGAAGAGGAGCTCCCAGCAAAAACGCATGTTGTGCAGCGGGAAGAGCTGGGTGGTGGGTTAAGCGTGATCATTCGACACACCGAAGAGGTGGGTGGCGAGTCAAGCGTAGTCCTGCGAGACGTTAAGGGAGGTACATGGAAGCCCGGCTTCTTGGGGATGAAGTATTCGTCAGCGTCGAGGATACTGAAAAGGTTGTGCATAGTGAATCTAGGTTAACGATGTCTCTCCACATGGATATAGAGCGAAAAGATCACGATTCTCCATCCACCGCCATTTGTGAAGAACAAGATGATTGTGCATCTGTCCTAGGTACAGGTCGCAAAATGATGATTCAAGATGCTATTGAGTTAAGCGACTCAGCCATGGTGGAGGTGCAGCACATCGAATCCTCCGTGGACGTTGGCATAGTTCTCCCTCCACGAAATCTGGAGCACGGTAAGATTTGTGAATAGTACCACACGCATATCCATCAATGTTCAGCTCTGTGGTAATCCAGATTGATGTGATGGGCTCATGTGGCAATTACCTGAAGTTAAAAAAAAAGCTTGTGGGTTGTTTTCTATGTTTTACATGTGTGAGATTGTCGATGTCCCTGCCCATGAAGCCTTCAAAAACCATGAGCGGAAAACTTTTTCAGGGTGGTCATTGGGTGCTTTACCGCAGAAGAAGTCCTCGTCAAATGTAGGGTTATTTCAAAAGGTCCTGATGACTCGCCTTTCCGAGAGAGCTTTAAGGGTTCTAAAGGCTTGCGGAATAGATAAGGATGAAGCTTTGCAGAAACATATGGCGGCGTCTATTGAAAGCGTTATTGCTTTGTCTGATGGGTCTGATGACGATGTCAAATGCGGTATCGTCAAAGACTCATATCCTAAGTACATTGTGAAGGACACATTCAGCAGTCGGGGCTGTAAACTTTGTAGAAAAATGTCACACACTTCTTAAACAGTTTGCCTCGGTGGTTAAGCAGGTTTTGGCGACTCCTCACACTTGTTCGTGGGTGTTTGTGCAGTTTCCACGACATCGTGTTTTCGACTATCATTGCCTACTAAGGAGCTTACCGTTGCAGACTTGAGAATGTTGCAGGTCGTCTGCAGACATTTCTGCAACGACGACGAGGTGGTTTTCTCGATTCAGAAAGGGAGCAATCGTATCCTTTTGAGCAGAAAACATCTCCAGACTCTTGTCCAGGGGGGATGACTTTGCGACGGGGTAATGAAGTTATACTTGACCTTGGCCGACAATGCAACATTGAACGGGAGTCGCTCTGTTTATATTTTCAGTCCGTTTTTCTATACCAAGCTCGTCGATGAGGGATGTCGACATGATAGTATTGCGAAATGGACGAAAGATGTGAATTTGTTTTTGTACAATATGGTAGTCATTCCTATTCGTAAACAACGGGTGCACTGGATCCTATTATGCGTCCGTGAAGGTCGGTTGGAGTACTACGACTCCCTCCTGCAAAAAGATAGCCGTTCTTCTCCCGATGTGATTGCCAACTTCACGAAATACCTCTCTTACGAAGCAGTTCGTCAACTCGGTCGACACTCGACACTCACTCTTCCGGACCTCGAGGTTGTTGTTCGTGGTGTCCCTCAGTAGTCGGACGCGTCGAGTTGCAGTATTTTCATGCTCGCCTTCGCTTATTTTCTAGCACACGGTCATCCACCATCATTCTCGATAGACTAAAGCGACATTCCAAACATGGTGGACATACTCCAAGGCTCATAATAATATCCCGAAGTTAAATATCATGATTTCACAAGGCCACAAACAGAAGTGCGAATTTATTCTCACTTGCAGTCGGCCAACCCGAGGCGTTGTGTGGATTTTATATTTCTCTTGGCGACTTCCCTCAATAGACTCCTTTCCTTGGATTGAAGTGGACGCTTAGGTCAGGTAAAGGATTGAAGTACACACTTAGGCCAGATAAAGAATTGAAGTGAAAGCTTAGGTTAACCGTACGTTTAGATGTCGATGTGAATATTTCATCCTTGTGCTGACGTATTTTTTAGGGGTTCTTCATTAACAGGAATATGACAACTTTACTCGTAGGAATGTTTTTGTTTTTCTTGTGCTTTTAGTTTTCCGATATAATATCGCAGCCTTGTGCTACCTATTCTTTAGGACAACGGCAGCACAGTGCTGCGTTTGTTTGTTTTAAGGTTATTCTCCGGTGTTATTCATGGAACAATCTTTTTCCTCCGCTAATATTTTTTAGGACTATGGCATCATCGACGTGTGAATTTATTCCCACTTGCAGTCGGTCAACTCGAGGCGTTGTGTTGATTACATACTTCTCTTAACGACGCCCCTCAACAAACTCCTTTCCTTGGATTGAAGTGGACGTTTAGGTCAGGTGAAGAATTGAAATAGACACTTAGGTCAGGTAAAGCATTGAAGTGGAAGGTTAGGTTAACCGGACGTTTATGTGAGTATGTCAACCTCGTGATGCAGTATTTTTTAAAAGTTCTTCGTTAACAGGAACATCGCAACTTTACTTGTAGGACTTTCTTTTTCTTTCCTGTGTTTTTAGTTTTTCGATGTAAATGTCGCATTTTTGTTTCGCCTTTGTTTGTTTTCAGGTTATTCTTCGGTGTTATTGATAGGATAATTTTTTTCGTCTGCTGATATTTTTTAGGATCATGACAGCATCAACCTTCTTTTATTCGTTTTTAGGTTGTGCTCATGTGTTGCTCATATGACAATATTTGTCCTCTTGTTGACATTCTTTACAAATTATTTCGTGTTTGTCAAACACTTAAGTCTTTAGTGAATATTCTTTACACTCGTGCAAGATATTAATGATTTGTACTTTGGACACTGTCGCCAAATTATTTCGTGCTTGTCAAACGCTTATGTCTTCAGTGAATGTTTCTTACACTCGTGCAAAATATTAATGATTTATATTTTGAACATTGTTGCTTCATTATTTCGTGCAGTCAAACGCTTAAGTCTTCAGTGAATATTGACTTTTGTATCCATGTGACAAATACAAACTTATTCGCACTTCGGAAGTCATGCATTTGCGATAAGTTTGTTAATATCTGGAAATTTTTCAAAATGATTACGTTTTGTGTTCTCACTAGAATAATTACGTTTTGTGGTCTCACCTAATATTTGCTCGTTTATGTAAGTTTCAAAAAATTGATGTTTCGTCAAAATGATCCTCTTTTATGTCATCGCCATAATGTATGTGTGCTTATGATGAATGCCCCTTGGTATATGGCTCATGCAAGACCTAAAAAATGCATGACGTTTTCTTATAGACCGCTGAAAAATTTAGTGGTTCTATAAGGTGTTCTCCCAGGTGAGAATGGTTACGTTTTGTGTTCTTACAAGATGTTTGTTCGTTTCTCAAGTTCTAAAAAATTGATGTTTCGCCAAAATGATTACCTTTTGTGTCATCATCAGAATGTATGTGTGCTTATGATGAATGACCCTTGGTAAATGTCTCATGCAAGACCTCAAAAATGGGTGACGTTTTCTTATGGAGTCCAGAAAAATTTTGTGGACCAGGTTATGTAAGGTGTTTCCCTAAATCTGTCATGTCCGTATCTGCAAATTCCAAAAAATTGATTTTTTTTCAAAATGATCACCTTTTGTGTTGCCGCTAGAATGTATTGACCCTTGGTATATTACTCATGCAAGACCTAAAAAATTAGTGGTTCTGTAAGTTGTTCCCCTAAATACGTCATGTCCGAAAGGTGTAACACTCTAAGTGTCCTCACGAAAGTGTGCGAAAGTATCTGCGGATTGATTCGTAGTTTAAGATTCGTTCCTCTACCTTTGCTCGCATGAGTTTACGACCCTTTTAGAGCGCCTCCTCACCTCTTACGCCGCTTAGAGCACCTCCTCACCTCTTACGTGTACAAGTTGAAAATTCAAAAGCAACCTAAAATATTGCCCGATTGGTGGAGTCAGCATGCCTCCTCACCTCTTATGCCGCTTAGAGCACCTCCTCACCTCTAACTTTTCAGATGTCGTTCACCTTGAAAATAACCAAAAAGGCAGAATGTGATTTCCAGATGGTTGGGGGTGGTGGAGGGGAGGGTCACTAGCTGTCATAGGGCCTTTTACAATTTGTTCGTTGATGGGAGAACTCGAGCAAACCTAAAGTTTATTCCGAATTGCAGAGCAGCCGCTCGAAAAAGCTTAACCTACCTCGAGAAGGGGGTTGGTGTGTTGGGGGGGAGCAGATGGTGGGGGAGGCGAAAGGTGAGTATGTATCATAGGCCCCGAAAGAAGTTGCAGGTTGATGAGTCGAGTACTCCAAGTGATGGCGGTTGATCTTGCGAGACCCAAGGCACTACTATTTTTTGTTGCATAGAACTTAAAAAAAACACGTAGCAGTGAATGCATCGATTTATTCTTATTTATATCGCTCCTCAGTTCATATTGCCAACATGAATTTCAACTTCGTTATAAAAAGTGAACAATCAAAAGACTCACTTTTAACGGAATTTGTATTTAAACCTCCTGATAAATGGGTGTCTTAGATAAACGTCCTCAATCCAACCTACCACTGTTTTCTCGTTTTTTTTCCTGAGAGTTACTGCTTCCACAAACCCACTAAGGTTATCTCTAGCATCCAAGATGTACATGTATCCTTCCGAATATATAGGCATGACTGGGAGATCGAGGTGGATGAGATGTTCTGATCCGAGCACCCGCATGGGTCTCAAAGGCTCAAAAATAGGAGTCGTACTCTGCTCTTAACAGATCAAACAGATCTGGCAGTATGTGATCACCATGCTTCTCATTCCCGACCAAAAGTAGAGTGACGCTATATTTGCCAATGTCCCCTTTGAGGAGCAATGTCCCACAACTAACTCATTATGCATTGCTTGAATTACATCCACCTCTCTGGATTGCCCGCACACAAACCGTCTAGGCATTTGACCTTCCTCCTTCTTCAATAGGTGTTCATTCCTCAATACGTACTTGTCGGCCTCTTCTCGCTTTGAGGTTGATCTCCGCAGCCTCCTTATTTCCCACTAGCATTAAACCGATTTTCCTGAAAATCCCATCGTACGTCTGAATAAGGAATAATTCCTTCCTGTCCTGACAATCCTACTCCCCATCCTGTGCCTGATTCACCAGGTACTGTCGCCGCTTCTGTTCTCATGACTCAACCAGATTCATAACTGCTTTCTGTCCTCCTTCTACTGCCATCGCCATCAGTTCCTCCTGTGGCTCCACAATGCTTCCCCACGAATCCTTCTCTTCCTTACGGTTTCGGCCTTGTAACTGATCCTTATCAAAAGTTTCAGAACTATGTTGGGAGACCCTCTTTCCAAGACTTTAATCAACAACTCCCCCGATGCGCAAGTCGAGTCTATCACCTCATTGTCCACCACAAGGGTTCATCCCTCGTAGTCGAAAAACGTGTCGATAGGCTTTGCGCCCTCTACTCCTTCCGATGTGATGCAAACCCTGCTCAGATCATCGGCCCTATTTCTAAGGCCAACAGTTTGCTCGATCTTGTAATCAAATTGCGAAATGAACCCTACCCATCTTCCCACAATAGGGTTTATTAGTTTGTAATTCTTCTGCGCTCCTGTGACGTTCGTTGGATCGATCTTTAGAATGACCGTCTCCCAAAGAGGTAAGCTTGGAAGGTTTTAAGACATTGAAGAACGACCAGCACTTCCTTCTTGAATTGAGGGTAGCGACGTTCCGCTGAGTTCAACGTCCTACTCTCGAATCTGATGGACCTTTCTCTCCCATCTTCACCTCTCTGTATCACAACTCCACCCACAGCTAATGGTCCCCCATCGGTCTCAAGTATAAACGGTTGTCCTACCTCGTCATTAAAGCATGGAGCGGCGAGCGTAACCTGTTTCGACGTCAATATGTCTTTGAGGGCCTGGACAACGACTTCTCGATCCTCAGTCCAGTCCATTGTGTCTTCTTCGCAAATCATGGCCTCGATGGGTTCCGCTATCTTGGCAAAACCCTTGATAAAAATCCTCCAAAATCCCACGATTCCTAAGAAGGTCCTTACTTCCGTAGTGGTACGTAGGGGTGTTGGCCACTGGGAGATCTTGTCGGTCTTGGCCAGGTCGGGTGGTTTCCTTCTGTATGACCCGGAGCGGAAACCTAGGATGGTTACTTCCGGGACTGAAAGGATACTCTTGGGACCACTATGGTGATATTGTACACCAAGAACCTGCGGAGGAGCTTTTTGATGTTTTGTAAATGGTCTCACACAAATTTTCGTACTCCGGGCTGAACTTCCGTCTCATCCTTCTCTCGGGCGCCCTTGATCGGATTGTCATCAATGTAAGGCTCGCACTTTGTTGAGAACATATCCCCAACAACTTCGAGCATATCCTCCTTTGTGCTTCTGCCACAGCATTGGTGAAGCCCACAGGGGTTACTTGCATTTGCAACTAGCCTACGGGGGTGTGCATGGTCGTATAAGGTTTATCCTAGGCGTCCAGCGGAAGCTGATCTTATCAGGAATAGAGGTCTACTTGTGAGTAAATGCTTTAACTGGCGTGGGACTCTACCAACAAGTCTACTTGAGGCAGTGACCCTGCATCCCACATAGTGACAACATTCAATTTCAGTAGATCATGGATTCACCTAAGCGTCTTGTTAGCCTCCCAGAACACAAACTACCTGTTTGCGTACGGAGATGCGGTAGCTTCCATAACAAAGGAGTTCATTTTTGCTCTAAGCAGGTCTGTTACTTCTCCTTCGATTCCGAAATCGTAGGCCAGTCCTTTGTCATTCCAACATTCGTGTGCTCAACCGTATGGATCATGACAAGGGGTATCAATTTTGCGTCTAGTCATCCCTTCTGATGGTCATTGAAGGCAAATGCCAGGTGAAATTTTTAACACGCTTTCTTGATCAAGCGTGCTTCCTGCTCCGTCAGGAATCCCTCTACTCCTAACTTCATGGTCTCTGCTACTTCGTTCGGTATTCGATGCCCTTCCGTTGCCCGTTTTTCTCTAATCACTTGGATAACTTCTGTCTCCCTTCCTATGACTTTTTCCTTTGTTGTTTCTAGGAGAACTGAGACGGGATTAGCCTTCTTTCCTACTGGCTTGTCCTTGCGAATGCTTCCTTCCGGAATCTTTCTTCTAAAAAATGAACATTTGGGACCACCCTTGGAACCTCGGCAAGACGTGGCTGGATGCTGATCAGTTTTCCATTTAAGCAGTAGCCCTTTCAAATTTCTCCCTCGAACTTGGCGAGTGCGACCGGATCCACCCCTACCTTATGGTACTTGATCGCTTTAACGAGTTATAGTAAGTCAGGAATTTCTAGTGTTATCCCCGATTCCTCAGTTTGCGCCTCCTTTGGTCTGGGCAGAGTGACCCCTAATTCGACCTCTGTTTCCTTTTCTATCGACATAACGTCCAAACGGTAGTCCTCCTATCTTCGTTTCTTTTTAGGTAATCCCATCTTGACTCATTCCTTCTTGCTGAATGCCTCCTCGATCATTATCTCTACCCTTTCTGCCATCCCTTCCATCTGTGCGAAGACCCTTCTTCTGGCGCTTTCCTCGAACAATGGCGACCACGTTGCTAATTTCCCCTTTGGAGTGTCGCTCCCTGTCCCAATGAGACGAAGCAGCTCACCACGTCATGTCGTCGGATCCTCTTTGTCTACCATGTACGCCGCATCATGTAGGTGCATCCCTATTATTTCCACATCCGCACACCAATGTTTTCCAAGGATTATATCATGGTCCATCTCGTTCATGACGGTCATCCGTTGGAATGGCCAAATGGATTCCCTGACGCCTGCCTTTACCTTGCACTTATTGACATATCCCGAGAACGGGATTTCCCCACTTGCTTCACGGACGCTTCCGATTGTTTCTTTGTTCACTGCGCATACCGTGATTTTCGCAAAGTCATTCCTAATGGGAGTGATTTCAGCCCCTCCGTCCACCAACACAGTTGTGTGATGGCTTCTGATCTGCACTTTCAACTTCCCCACAGGCAACGCATCAAAACTAAGCTTTGTTCTTGGTGGTGCCCTCATAACTTCGCACCCTTTGCGATCTGGCAAGCTTAGACGGACATCTGCGAAAGTCTTTTCCAGATCTTGTAGGTCTTCGAGAATCCTCTGGAGGTTAGTGACTTTTCGCGGTGCGCCCTCCTCCTTCTCTTCTTCCTGATGTTCCAGACATTCCTCTATCTCTATTCTTCACCTAGTCAGCAACTGACTAAGGCCCTTCAGGAGCCTAAGAATCACTTGTAGCATGGTCTGGAATGAGACCGACACCATGATCCCAAGCAACTTACTAAGTTTGTCATTGATCTCGAGCATAGTTAGAATAGGAATTTGGTACCGAAATTTCTTTTTGGTCGAGGTTGCTTTATCTATCGGGACCTCTTCTTTAGGTTTCCCATAAACCCTCTTCTGCTATTGCGCCTCAGTCTCTTGTGGCGCCCCTTGGTCATCCCCCTCGTTTTCCTTAACTGCGTCTTGTACGACCTTTTTTTTTGTCGTTCATTACCTTGTGGTCACATTCACCTTATTCCGTTCATCGCTCTCTAGAATAAAATTAACCTGCGGTCCACGCCCTTGCGCCTGTTCCCAAACGATCCCTGCTACCGATTCAGCCTCTATTGTGGCAACATCTAGATTGTTTAGTGCACTTACGGCTCGTCGCATCCCTCCCGGGGAGTTCCAATTCACTTTCTCTCCTCGAGGGCATATGATCTCCCCTCATAGTGTCCTATAATATCTCTTCTGCATGATGTCATGATTGAGTCTTGGACATGTTCGCACAAAGTGACTGATCATCGTGCAATATCTGCAATGTTCATTGGTCCGGTCTCTCCTATTAAACCCTTTATTGACTATCCCAGCCGGAACCACAACTTCTTATGGTGGGAGGGGGGGTCGGGCCACCTGGGCCTGCGTAGCCTAGGCTTGCATTACCATTAATGCATTTTCCACTCTTTCGATCTTTCCACCTACTCCATGGACGCTGATGCAAACTTTTTATTCCTTTTTTCACCTTATCCAATGTGTTGCCGGTTAAGTCTGAGAGATGGTTAACCGACCCCCCATTTTTCACCTCAATTTATAAGAAAACCATAAGGTCATTTCAAGAAAACTTCATACTACTGTATAGAGTGCACTTCTTACTAACATATTATTAAAAAAAAAAATAAAAAAAAAATGAAGAACATGTAAAGTCGGGGTCCCCGTTAACCAATAGTGTTAAGTCTATGACCTCTCCCTCCTTCCGAAGGGCCAAAGAGTCGGTCACGACCATCTTTTCGACAATATTTGTTACGGTACTGAAGTCGACATCCCTGGTATTAATAAATTTCATGGTCTGTTGGTAGGCTGATAGAATCTTATCTTTGTCAAACTTAGTGAACTGTCTAAGGAAATACTTACTCATTATACGGTCCGTCACCCCCGAGATCCGCAACGCCACGAGGGTGAATTCTCTCAGGAAATCGTTATACTAGTGTATACCGCCGTAAGAATACGGCCAGTCCGCCCGTCCGGACGTCCGTACGTACGGGCCCCCCACGGGCCCCCGACGCCCGTACGGCCCGTACGTATGGACTTTCGGCCGTTCGTACACGGCCTTCCGGAGGGGTGCTGAGGGGGTGGATGGGCAAGGGGGGGGTCGGGTGGTAGGGGGTACCCCCCCATTCAAAAAAACAGTAAAAAAAAAGATGTTTTTTTTTTGGTCCCAGGTGAAAAAAAAAAAAATGATTGATTGATTAATTCGTTGATTGATTGATTGATTGATTGTTTGATTGATTGGTTGATTGATTGGTTGATTGATTGATTTATTGATTGATTGATTGATTGATTGATTGATGAACATGTGCACATTGATTGATTGATTGATTGATTGATTGATTGATCGAGCGTGAAAAGAAAAAAATACGAAAAACAATTAAAAAAAATTCATTCAAAAGATTGATTGATTGATTGATTGATTGATTGGTTGGCAGTGGGGGGGTCGCCTCCCACCCGCAAACACAAACGCACACACACACACACACACACACACACAGACGCGCGACCTTTTTTTATTTTTATTTTTTTTATTGATTGATTGATTGATTGATTGATTGATTGATTGATTGATTGATTGATTGATTGGCTGGCAGTGGGGGGGTCGCCTCCCCCCTGCGAACACACACACACACACACGCATGCGGGGCAACTGGCCGTTTTATTTTTGTCACGAGTTTCTTTTTTTTTTTCTTTTTTTTTTCGTCTTTTTTGTTTTTGATTTTTAAAAAATCTTTTAAGAGGTAAAAAAAAAATAAAAAAATATGGTCAACCCCATATATATATATATATATATATATATATATATATTGGATTTGTTTTGCCCCCCAAATCACCGTCGTACAGCCGCCGTCCTTACGCCCGTACGGACGTTCGTCCCTGCACATGGCAAAAAAAATAAAATTTTCCGGGGTGGCAGACCGCCCCAGGTTCTTAGGATTTCTAGGTCCTAAGGCTTACTGTTGATCTTATAGCCTCCTCATTTTTGCTCTTTCAACATTCCATTTTTTTGGTGGCCATAATAGATTCATCGCCCTTTCTGGTTAATGGAATATTACTCACTTACCACTTTGAAAGGCCCGTTGATCCGACTTGGTATTTTGACACAACTGCGTATCGGATCTGAAGTGGCGTATCCATGGTGGAGCGGGTCCCTATTTTAGGGCCGACCTTTTCCTTTTCCTGCCCTTGGACAGTCTGAGCGCCCTTAGCGTTAGTGGATATCCCAGTCCTGTCTCAATCCATCCTTAGATGGAATAGGACTTCAGCCGCTATCTCCTGGAGAGCGTTGTCCTTACCTCTGCTTTGTAGTATGTTGGTGTTTTCCCCCCATTAGGTCACCTTCCTAACGTTTCTCACACCGGTTCCTTAGGTTTGTCATGCTCAACGGGTTCTTCAAATAGTCTAGCCAACCCCGCAAAGGTAGTTTTCCTCAGGATTATCAGCTCGTATTCCTCATAAGCCAGTAGCGGTGTCCGGAATACCAAAATGTCGATGAGTTCTAGTAGCTCCTAGTAGACCCTATTTCCCCAAAATGGCCCGTGTTTCCCCAATACGTTGTAAAACACGCCTGTTGTCTGTGGCTGGAAATGATGTACCGAGATTAGGGTCGCGTTCACCAAGTCCTTTGCGCTCGGGAGACTTCCAAATCCCAGGTCTATCATGAAGCAGGGCACTCGACACCCCAACCAGCTGCCTGGGCCCTAAACTCCCGCTATCCTCCTACCTCCACCCGGGTCCTTAGTCCTGCATTCCTTCTTCCCCGAATCTCTTTGCTTACTCGGGCTAATGCCCGGGTCCCCCTCCGAAAGATTGGCAGTAACCCATGGCCTAGAGCCATCTCGATCCCTAGCATGTGCCACCCAATCTCCGATAGGTACAAGGTTTCGGTTACCCTTAGGTCAGTGTACAAGTCATCTCCTGACCCTCTATTAAATCTCATGCCGCTCCATAAGCATTCCACCATCATGAAGGCTTGGTTCCTTCCCAGGGTCATAGCTCGCCATTCCACGTCGATCCCTCGAACCTCGTAGCTTGTCGGGAGCGATACTTTCCACCCGTTACCATTCTCCGCAGGTGGGTGAGGGTGTGTGGGTCGTCGTGACGTTCGGGTGTGCCTCATCGCCATTGTCGGTCGACGAATTTCTGCATCGTTCAAAAGAGAAAGTAAATATCTCCTACTCCCCTTATGGTCCCACACTCTACTAGCCATCCCTTCGTCCCCTTTTTCGTCTCTCCCTCCTCCCTTCTAAGCTTTTACCGCCTCCTTTATTTTTCTTCCTTGCTATTAGATTACGTCTTCCTCTGGTAGTTCGAATAATCGATAAACATCATCTATGTAAGTTATTATGTGGCTCACTTCGCGCGTAATGACTCCCCATATAATCTCATCGCTTACTAGCGGAATCCTTGGTCTCGCTGTTACAGGCGCGCGCAGGATGCGTAGCAGTTCATACCCCTGTTCTTCCTCAAATGACCTCATCTCTAGGAATGCCCGATAATATTCTCGATACATCATGACTTCCTCAAAACTCAATCCATCGAGCGCTGCTACTGCCTGCATAATGCGCTTTACACCTCTCATCCGTCGCAACAGCAAGGGTGGTAGTCTCATTCGTACGTTTTCATTTGGCAGGGTGAAGAATCCAACCATGACGGTTTTTATTTCTGTCGTTACGTCATCTCATTCCGGATCCACGAACTCGAACCCTTCTCGCCATGTCATTGGCCACGCCCCCTCGAACAATCGTACGGGATTGCCCCCAGATGCTACGGTGATCCCAAAGGTGTGCCATCCTTCTTCCGATAGGTACAACGATCCCTTGGAGTGTGAGCGTCCCAGAAGGTCCAAGTTCATGTCCCCAAATTCCCCCTTTGCACGTCATTCTAGTTCCACTACTAGATACACCATATCTTCTACAAGTTTTATTCTCACCCAGTCCATTACCGGATTGCTTACCCCATTTCTTGTCGGCATACTTATCTCTATCCGTCCATCCACTTTGCGCGGCGGCAAGATCCCAAGTGGTCTGTTTTCCCAGAGTGCCATTCTTCAAGTCATCCCGCGGCGCCTTCCTTCTCGCTTTCTTCCAGTCGACTGCTACATCCACTGAAATTTTGTGCTTCCTTGGTTTAGTTTTTCCTACTTTGCAAGGTAACTTTCCTACTAGTGTGCATCCATCATTGGTATTGGTCATATTCCATACATACTTTAATATTTTCCTTATCTACCTGTCGTTGGCACCCTTCCTGCTTAGGCGTTTATCTTCTGACTTAAAACCATAGGACTTCGAACAATAGGAATATGTCGCCTACATAAGAGGGTGTCGTTGCCACCTCGCGGCGAAGTATAGCATCCTTTGTTCTATCATCCACCTCGGTTCGGTCGTCCTTGACAGCCTTCAGGATGTCGACGACTTCCTTGACTCTATCGTCATATAAATACATTTCTTCTAGCGAGATCTTGTAGAATGCATCAACCATCCATGAAAATCCCAGGTCTACCTCGTCATGGGACTCCGCTACCCTGTATATGTGCTCATACAACATGTTATTCGTTAAAAGAAAACATTATATTGTGT